TTTCATTCTAATCAGTAATTGTTGCTTTTGCAGTGCAATGACACTTGATTAGGTTCCAGTCAGGGTCCTCAGGCTGTTCTCCAGTGCTTTCTCACTGAAAGCATCACCAGTGCTTCCTCGAGTAGAACAATTTTGACTCCTTAGTTACCTGTTACCCTTTCTTTGGGGTTCCAGTCTTGCTGTGAGAGCCTGCCTGACTCGATAGTAAGATCCTGAAAGCTTCTCCCCACTCTTATGTCCTTGCTAATTTACCCAACAAAGGACGGGTTTCATTTCAAGCTTGTCCAGGCCCTAGTGAGAATCTCAATGATCCATAACATACACATGGGTAGGTATAGACCCAGATAGCAGTCAATGAATCACGAATTTACTTTTCTGTAACTTACCTTCAATTCCCTTTTGAATGCCTATTCAAAAGTTGGTTTTACCATCTTCTCCACTTTTCACCCTTGGGGTTGGATCTACATTTGTCTGGTATGGTGGCAAATTTTGAAGTTGGGAATGTCTGGTTCTCAGTATTATCTGTTCATATAGATCTCATCAGAAGCTTAACATCCTAATAGTTACCTATACTGAAAAGCCTTTACTGAGTTCAGAGTCCCCTCTTGCATGCTCCTTGTAAGTCTGGAGGCTGTCTTTTCTCTTCCACAATATACCTGGGTGTAGATGATACTATTTTGTTTCCACTTCAAGTTAGGGCACAGGAAAATATTGGGAGTTTGTCTAGTTCCCATCAAACTCCCATAAATTCATATACTGTGGGTATTGCTGCCTTCCTGAGCTGTCTTCAGGAATCAGGATACACATTACCCATACTCTGCCTTCACACCCCCATCTATGGAGGCTTTCTCACTCTCCAGGGATGTGACGAAGAACAAGGCACATTCTCCCAATTCCTGACACAATGGAAATCTCTCTCCCTCTTATTCTCCTATGACTCTGCTACCCACAAACCCCCTCCTTCTCCAGCACAGGAGACAGGCTTGTTTGAGGCTTTTCTGTAAGAAAAGAAAGTCATACTCTTACAAAAGATATTTTGTCTATATCCCTTGCTATGCCAGGGGTTTCTTCTTGTTCCTCTAAAGCCAAATGAAACACCAAAAGGTAGGGAGAAACTCCTTTTTCTTTCCCTTCTGCTTTCTTCATTGCCACATTTTTCTCTTAGAGTAGCGAGCACAAAATGCCTAGATGTTTTGGGGTACAGTGATGGCCAAAAGGACTGAGAGAAGACACCATTGGCTGGATGGCGAGACAATCTGCTAATATTACCCTACCACACTTACTGAGGGGCAGACTGAAGAAATACTAAGAGTGAGGATGATGATGATGTTGCTGCTGTTCCTAAGAGCAAATATTCCTTCCTTCATCATTCCTTTTAGCTGGTATAGGCTAAAAGACTTCAGAGCAGAGAAACCCTGTCTGAAGTAAGCAGACAGATAAGGTGACGGGCTGTCTTTTTTAAAGGATTTATCTTCTCACTACAGATCAGTTCTGCAGTGGTTTTGAAAGGTATGACTCTGCTATTCAGGTTGGTTCTAGGAATGACAGTTTATATAAAGCTGTTACTTTACTGTGAAAAATCTAGACAAGTGAGAGTAACATTTGGATTAGTCTTTACACCCAGAAACTTGTGTAACAGAAAGAATCGTGTGATTTTTTTTTTCTGAGAATGCAGAGGGATCCTCAAAGCCTTTCAGTTATAACTTTCATTTTAAATACATAATAGATCAGTGATTTCTGATAAATAAAATTTGCTTACATGTATTATATATTAAATTCCTAAGTAGTACTTTATTTAATCCTCATAAACACCTTAAGGGCTACATATTATCGGAAGGAAGCTGAGGTACAGAGCGCCTAAGTAACATGTCCCAAGACACAAGTCAGTATCTGGTGACTGAATTTGAACTCCAGCAGTCTGATGGCAGAACCGAATTGCTTAACTCTGCTGCTTTATTATGATATTCATCATGATAATGGTTAGGTTATGCTATAAAACTGGTAAATCTTGGCACTTAAGCTAGTACATCAGAATAACGTCTTTTATGTGATTTTAATTCACATATTTGGCACAAAGTGAAAGATATTAGTCTATATAGGACAGCAAACAACTCATTTTCTCTTTATCAACAGCCACTGAGGTTAATTTGTGCTAAACCTTCAGGGAACTATAGTGAATAAGCACCAATGGGACTGAAGGGTATTTACTCATAGGAAATGAGTAAATCCTTTCAAATTATATAATCAAATGAAATCTCTTACATTTATAAACATGCTTAGGTGTCTTAAGCATTCTATATTTCATTTATGCGTTCAAAAATACTCTGAGCACCTACTATTTGCCAGTGAATATGTGCCTAACATGTGCCAGACATTGTAAGAGGTGCTTGGGATGGTGTAATAAAAAAGCAAAACAAACAAAAACCTCCGAGTCTTGTCCCTGTAGAGTGTAATTCTAAAGTGAAGACACAGAAGAATATTACAAAGTAGTGAAGGGTTATGGGAAACAAATAATCAGGGACTTCCTATAGGGACACTGAATTCCCTTTATTGTTCTTTTCCCTTTTTACTTCAGGGATAAACTAAGTCATGCTTGCTTCTCGTCCTGCAACTCAGTATGAGGAAAATGTGAACAGAAACACAAACCAAAGCAAGGCTTCTGCTCCAGGTACTAAAATCAGGTATTGGTCCAGCCCCACCTGAAGTTAAAGCAATATCTGAAAAACTGGCTTCTCATGGAGAAGCAAGAGTGAAGACTGCAAGGCAGAAAGCTTTTCAAGTCTTCCTGGTTTTGTTGCAAGTTTTCATCTTTCAGTGTGGTTCCCATTCTCTAGGACATCTCTTGACTGCCCTCACCTTGCCACTCTCCATGCCACATAACCAATGTTTCTGGATCTCAGAAAAGGTCTCTCCTGTGTATTGAATGTGCCTGCACTTACTCTATTGCCCAGCATTAACCACACTAGACTGTAGAGGTATGTTCAATAGCTGTTCTCTCAGCAGACTTATAAATCTGGATAGTTAAGGACAAGACTGTCTTCATCATATCACCTGTACTCAGACCAGTAACTGGCATACTGTAGGAGCGGAGTAAATCTTCGTCATATAAGTAAATCCACCTTTGCTAAGTATGCATTCTGTTAACAATAGCACTTTGATTACACAGAAAATTTAGTCAATATATTATTACTAATTTGTCCAAAGTTCTCATCAACATACATCTTTGCAAAGGATATGTTGTGATTCTAATTAAGAACGACTTCACAAGTTTTACAATGAGCATCCAGTAAGTTACACACATACAAACTGGACAAGTTTTTTTTTTAAAAAAGATTTATTTATTTGTGCATACAAAACTGGGGTAGAGGCCAGAAGCTCAGGGGGGGAAGAGGCTTCACTAGAGACAGAGTGGGGAGCAGAACAGGCAGATCGACGAAGTACACTGCTGAGGGGAGCAGTGGACGGGTCAGGAGAGATCTACCACGCCATGTGGTCACCTCCGGAGCAGGCGGGAATCGAACTCATGCGGAAGTGGCCTTTAGCTTCTTAGTGCAGTGCTTTAACCAGCTACACCACCAGGGAGGGCCCCAAATTGGACAAGTTTTAAAATTACTTTATTATGGAAAATTTTAAACACACAAAAATACAGAGAATAGTACAATAAACCTACATGCAGCAATCATTTGCCCTCAAAAATTCCAACCCAGACCCGTTTTGTTTCCCCTGCAACCTCACACACTCAGCATACCTAGTTTATCTGAAAATACTTTGACTCTAAAGTATTTCATTGTAGCAAAGACTTTAGAGTCATTGCACAATAGTGCGTTGGTCCTTGCATTGCAAATACATAAATATTATCTCTTTTCACTGTCATACCCTGTTCTTTCTCACTTTACTGAAAAGGAAGCAGGTTCAGAAAATTGAATGATTTTTTTTTGTTTATACTATAGTGTATATCACAGCTTGAATTCAATTATTTGTACGCATCTACTTTCGTGCTTCGTGCTCTGTATAGAACAGGCCATTCCAAGTTGTCTGCCTTTTAGCCATTTCTAAGACTGGGCAGAGAGCAAGAGGCGTTCACTTCACTCCGTGATGGCAGTTCCAATAGGGAAGTATTTGGACCTCTCTTTTCTTTCATGAAACCACTGTAGCTGTAGCAATGCAACAGAGCTCCTGATTTTTGTGATGTCTTCAGTGTACGGTGCAGTCAAATACCAGCTATTTTTATTTGCTGAAAAGAAAAGGTAACCAAGGGCTACTTTATACCTCATTGGTGAGGTGTCAGGCTGAATCCAAGTGGCCAAAGCACCCACACAATGCACCCAAACAAGGGCAGATCCAAAATTTCTCCAAAATTAGACTTTCCAAGAGGTGAGAATATGTTCGCACATACATAAGTGAAATGTGTACACTCATTCTCGTAAGTGAAACGTTGACAATAAACATGCTGCTTCATAGGAAACTCACTGTGCTCCCTCTTGGACCCTCAGCTTCAGCTGTCTGGAGGCTTCTCCCCAGTCTCCATCAATTGTTTTAAAGGGAAGGTCATATTACAACAAAACGGCAACAATTTGGCCACCGAGTAACTCTCACCAGGCTTTGTAGGAATTTGGTTGTGAAGTGCGTCTACCTCTCTCAAAAGGGCCGCTCCTCGCGCCTCCCGCCCCGACCCCCAGGTGAGCATTTTATCCCCATTTTCCGGACAAGAAAACTGAGTTTCAGAGACAGTCACGGGCGGCGAGCGGCTAACCTGAGTCTGGCACGGGGATGGCTGTCTCCACAGCCCTGCATCTCGACGGTGGGGAACACGACGAAACGCCAGCGGAAGGATCCTGAGCGTTCGGAGCGGAACCAGCGAAGTAAGATAGCAAGTTTGGATGGTCGGACGAGAAACGGCGGGACACAGGCCGGCTCCGGAGCGTGAAAACTCGGCACGCCGGAAGTTGAACTGGGGCTACCGGACCTCCCGCCGGAAGTCGCTCGCCAGCGCCCCCGCCTGCTGCTTGCTTGCTGGAGAGGCGTTCTCGGGTTAGAATTATCGTGCGGCCACGAGGTCTCCCGAGCTCGCTTGCAAACGCTGGTGCCGGTCAAAATGTCGCAACCATCCCCCCAGGCTAAGCCATCCAACCCTAGTAACCCCAGAGTCTTCTTTGACGTAGACATCGGAGGGGAGCGAGGTGAGCGTAGTGTGATACGCGCGAGTGCCCCGAGGAGGCTGGCTTCTCGGGAGTCGGGGAGACCCGAGGGTGGGGTGCGTTTCGGACCGGGCCTGCTGCCTGGCGCGCATCGGACCGAACCGGAGCGCTGGCAGAAACCCAGGCATTCAGGACTGGGTCAAGCCAGCGCCCTTGTGCCAATGCCACGGTGGTGCGGAAGTTTCTGGAAATTTCTGGTTTAGGCGGCCTTTGGGTAGTCATCACGCTTGGGTTGCGTCTCCCTGCCACTAGCACCACCAAATAGGCGTAAATTGCGATTTTTTTGTTTGTAGTGGGACGTTCAGAAAATGCCTGGGATTTGCGTCTTTGGGGCTGCAGGCGTTCAGCGACTTGTACGCGAAATCAGCGATTACCCTGTAATTGTAATTAAAGCGATTTGGGCATACTGTTCCCCCACCCCCCTTTCCGATATTTTGACTCTTAACCTAGAGGTACCGACTGGACCTCTAGGTAACACTTCTTTTTGGTGTGGGCAAGATGAATTTAATGCAGCGATTGGTTGGTTGCCTAGGCTACCTTAGTTGGCAGCTCGGAAGCTCCTAAGCGCCTCTGAATTAGCGCGTTGCTTTGTAACTGACTTGCTCTTGTTCTGAAAGATGCTAAAATTGGTGGCCAAGGAGTGCGTTTTGGTCGGATACAAATAGAGCCATCAGGATTCAAACATCCTTTGGAAAGAAAGACAAGACACATTTATGTAGGTGTATTCAGTTTGGTTTGAAACTAGAGCTAGACTTATTTTTACCTGCCTTTGGAGTTCTCTAGAATGGGGTCCCTCCCCCGCATTTTGCTTCTGAAGCTGTGCCAGGCAGCTTTCACAACGCACAGGACACTTGGCCAACCTAATCGCTCAACACTCCACAGATACTTTTCTCATACTGGTCTCCTATTATTCAATCTGAGTGCATCTGGAAGAAGTTACTCAGAATTTAAAACCAGTTGTACTTCATGATGTCCCTTACATAGTTTAGCTTTCTAGCCACTTACTTGTATTGTTACTTGTATCCCTTCTAAGAGCTAGAATAATAATTTGCTTATAATGGGAGACAGTACTTACTCCTGCCTGCCTGTGACTATGCAGGTGCTTCTGTTTTTCTTCTTTTCCTAAGTAACCTATTCTTTTAAGTGTGAGAAAAAATTCATGTAGATAATATGATACTTAACATTAAGTGGATTAATATGAACATGTTAGAAAGATGACCATACAGAGAACTTGTTATCTCAGTCACTGTGTTTGTCAACTGTCTTTTATTTGACAGTGCTTTATATACTGACATGATTTCCTTTTCTTTTAGTTGGCCGAATTGTCTTAGAATTGTTTGCAGATATTGTACCCAAAACTGCAGAAAATTTTCGTGCATTATGCACTGGAGAAAAAGGCATTGGGCCCTCCACTGGGAAGCCTCTATATTTCAAGGGATGTCCTTTCCATCGAGGTAGGTATGCCTTTTCTGAGTGTGATTCTTCACATACGTGATCAAATCCTGTCCTGTAGGGTTAGGGAAGAAAGCACTGAGTAAGGGGTGAAAGTTAAAAATGACTATTCATTTGCAAGGGGCACTGTGACATCTGAGGCAGTAGATCACTTTCATCAAGGTTAGGCTGTGGAAAAACAGCATTATGGGAAGGCACTGAGATTCATTTCAAGAGAAATGAACTACTCTAGTTTCACCACTGCTCTCCTGTATAAGTAGATTGAGAAAGTGAATGGCTGGGATATACAAGCAGAACCTTAGGTAGCTGATTGCTTTTCATGATCAAAAAATTGTGCCCATTAATGCAGTGTCTTGATTGGTGTGATGTTTGAATGAAAGGTAACTTTTCTACTGCTTATGACACTTGGCAAAAATAGATTTGTTCAGCAATTGTTTGATGGTTCTTTAGTAGATGAAATGAGGAATTACCTCTTTTCACTGTTTTGCTTTTAGCATTTAGTATAGTTATTGAGTGGACATGCAATAAATATTTCTTTAATGGATATAAGTAAACTATAATCATATGATTTATTAAGAAAAATGACTGATTTTTTAAAATATTAATGGGCTTGTACTTTAATAAAGTACCCAAAATGTTGATATAGTGTATGCAGAAAAGAGTTAATATAGCCAGTCTGTGCCTCCTCTCCTTGGAAAGGTCCCTCTGCAGGACTGGCCACTGCTGGGAGTCTGGGAACTTGGCGCTTGAACCATTGCCTAAGTCATAAGGGTTGTTTACTATTTCTAGACTGTACAGTCAGTTTTGATTCAGCTCTCAACAATTTGATTTATGTTAAATACCTGCAATTCCTTTTAGGAATTGTAATTTTGGTACATGTTAGGCAGACAGAACCTGCATGATGAACCCTAATAAAAACCTTGGGTGCTGAGTCTAGTGGATTTTCCTGGACAGGAACACCATATAGATATTGTTGCTTTTTTTTTTGGATGGGGAAAAGATGGGTTCTGTGACCTTTCGTACCAGAGAGAAAGTATAAGGAAGAAGCCTGACTTTCTCCAGACTCAGCCTGCTTCTTCTTCCTTTATGAAGTAGCTGTATATCTTCAGTGGCTCTCATACAACCAGATGCTGAGTCTCACGCATCCTAGGAAGTCTTGAACAAGTGGATAGGCTTGGGAAACCTAGATGCCAAGTGATAACACATCCTGAATTACTTCTGTTAGGTTAGAGTAATGACTGGGAGCGATTGCTCTTCACTTAGCAGGTGGTGTTGAGTGATATGTGGGCTCTCATGCACAGAGTTGGAAGGATGAGGTGCTGTATGAAGGTGTTAATTGTTACTGGAAGAGACAAATCATTAAGCTATGCTATAAAATGGAGGTTGAATTAAGATACCTTGAAAAAAATTAAGAGTTTAAACTTTGGGGTGTCAGGGACAATTTTATAAGGGAGATGTCTTTTGAACCAGTTCTTTGAGTATCAGTTGGGGAATGGAGACAATTAAAGTTAGTTTGGAATCAGTGAAAAAGCCTTTTAAGAGTTTGGAGTTGTGGGGCTGAATGGGGAGAAACAGGAGTGACCAGAGTCACATTTTAGAAGTTACCTTTATTATTACATATTAATTAACATTGATGAAGTCACCAATCTAAGTTTCTAATAGCTATTTTTCCTTTTTATAGTTATTAAGAAATTTATGATTCAGGGTGGAGACTTTTCAAATCAGAATGGGACAGGTGGAGAAAGTATTTATGGTGAAAAATTTGAAGATGAAAATTTCCATTATAAGGTAAAGTAGACAAAAATGCATGTTTATTGCTGATAGTAAAGGTTGTTGTGTATCAGGATTGTTAGATTAGATACCAGTAAGTCTCATGTGTGTTTAGATTCTTTTCTTGTAAAAGATAATCATATTTATTAATATGCATCTTTAATAAGGAAAAATTTCATCCAGTTGTGATTTTAATAGGCAAAAGCATTACACGCTGCAGTAAAGCCAGTGAGCTCTAAATGTGGGCTCACATCTGGCAAAACTGTTTCCAGGAGAAATACTGCCATTATCAAAAGGATGGGGACTTGTGTGTGTGTATGCTTCGCTATGAAGAGCAGAAAAACCATCACTATTCTCTAAGATGTCAGGGGATTTGCAAATTGGTGGATATGGTTAATGTTCAAGCTTCTAAAGGTTTAGGTAAGCGGTGCTGTGCCTCCTTACTTTCATTGTTCCAGGATGTAACTGGCCTACTGTATCATTCAGGTTGTAAGAATAAGACAGATGAGTACAAAAATAAAGTGATGTCTTTGGAAATAAGGAATATGAGCAAGGTAATTAGGATGATTTGAAAAGAAAATGTCATTAGTCTCCTAAACAATACCGGTTGGCTGATACTGTGTGTTCAGTACTGTCACTGGCACCAAGAAATGAAAAGCCTTGAGGACAAAGAGTCTGTAACCTTACCAGGCTGACGGATTGAAAACAGAACAACTGAAGAATAATGTAATAGTATGAAAAGAAATGCTAACTTGACTTTCTGTATAGATTACAGAAGAAAAGATATGTATGACTTATACAGTCCAAATTACTTGGGAAGATATTACAGAACGAATATTTAAGCTGGTAAATTGGGTCTTGCAAAGTGACTGAGATGCCAGATTGATATGTAGAATAGTAGCAAACTTTTGGAGAGGAAATAGGGAAACTACTAGAAGGGTGAAAACTAAGATTACTTGATAGTCATGTTGATTAAGGCATTTTAGATGGGAGACTAATCGGAGTTACAATGCATGGATTAAACTTATAAAAGGCTAAGGATTAAAGTGGAAAGACAAGAACATGGGTTTCACACGCCCTTTGAACAGGTTCATGTCAAGGTAGAAATTTGATTTCAAGATGTGTACATCACTTTCTTTTGGGCACTCTCTGAGGAAGTGACTCACTTGGGAAGGAAGCCACCATGCTGGATTCTGTTGAGATTGGCAGGGTACCTGACTGAATATCCCATCCCTGTTCTAGTTTCTTGATATATAAAGGGATATATAAAGGGAGAATCATAATGTGGGCCAAAGCAAACAGGAAGACGTTCATACAAGTAGGAAGATGTCTTTTCAGGAAAACGTGCATTCTTCATAAAAAAGGTTTAACTGCTAGACTCCTTAATGCAGCATTATCATAAAGGAAGTATAAGCCTTTTCTCAACATGGCCACTTTAGAAATAACTGTCTGACTGTTTCTTGGTGTCATAAACTCTTCTTTGTTCTTAATTAACTTTTACTGAGGTAAATAGGCTTATCACAGGCTTATTTTAGGCACATAGCATTATAATTCAACATATATTTAGCACATTCATAAGCACATAAAAATGTGCACATTCATAGCACATTTCAACTTTAAAAAAATAAGTATTCCATGTTCTGTGAATTAAAGGTTGTAACTTTATACAGTGTAAATCACACTATTTTGTTTGCTCTAAATAGTATTATAATCCACCCTAGATTTATATGAATAGTCAATAAAATAGCAATTCAAGACAATACCTCTAACCTTTGTTGTCTTTTAATTTATATTTCTACAGCATGATCAGGAAGGTTTGCTGAGCATGGCAAATGCTGGCCCTAATACGAATGGTTCTCAGTTCTTTATCACAACAGTTCCAACTCCTCATCTGGATGGGAAACATGTGGTGTTTGGTCAAGTAGTTAAAGGAATGGGCGTGGCAAGAATACTGGAAAATGTAGAAGTCAATGGTGAAAAGCCTGCCAAAGTAAGTAAAAGGTTACAGTGAAATACACTTCATTAGTTGTTGTCTTAATGCAATATAAGTGAAAGGATCACAGGAAAAATGTTACGACAAGTGTTGCTATAGAAAGCCTGGATCTGTCACCTTTTCTTTACAATTATTTTCAATGGAAATAGTTTAAAAGATTTTTATTCTATCAACTTCAGTCTTGTGATTTTTGGTGGGTTACTTACATCTCCTGAAACTGCAGAGCTTTCAGTCAGTATTGTACATCTGTACATAGTAGAAAGGACAGGAAGCCTGTTTAGACTGCCATTTAATTGGTTTAGCTTTGTTCTTGATAGTTAGCTTTTCTAGCCCTGTTACTTAGTCCTGCATCACTACTTAAGGGGTTAGACTGGACTAACAAAACTTTAAAGATCCTTGTGTACTACTTTTGAATCAAAATGGTTATAGCACTAGCCAGCCTAATTGGAAACTCAAATACCTGTGTACGTAGGCTGTCCCTCAAGGTCGGAAGGATATCATGGTGAATTGAAAGCACATGCCCCACCTAAAGGAAATTACAGAGAATGAAGAAAGTTTTAGTTTAATTCTACTTTAAGCTCATGAATAGTAATAAAATGCTTTTGTCAAACAGCGATGCATTTGTACATTTGGGATGTATATGGGCGCATTATTGCAGTTAGAATAGATACACGAGCCTCTTGGTGTTAATCTATTGTTTCAGAAGAGTTTGGAATAGTTGTCCATGACTTGTAGATATATAGCTGTATGAGCAGACTTAAAAATATCTCATTAATTGGTTAGTACAGTGCTACAATAAAGAATTCTTTTTACAGCTGTGCGTTATTGCAGAATGCGGAGAACTGAAGGAAGGGGATGACTGGGGAATATTCCCTAAAGATGGTTCTGGTGACAGTCATCCTGACTTCCCTGAGGATGCAGATATAGATCTAAAAGATGTAAGTACGTTCCAAGTAGTCAAACCTTAACTACCTAAATTACTAAAAATATTTACAACTAAAAATTTGAGCTCTTTATATATCAGTTTATCCTAATGATAGAATCTAGCACTAAGACACATTACTTACTAAAATCCAATTTATTTGTATTCTTTCATACAGGTCGATAAGATCTTATTAATAGCAGAAGACCTAAAAAACATTGGAAATACTTTTTTCAAATCTCAGAACTGGGAGATGGCCATTAAAAAATATACAAAAGTTTTAAGGTAATAGAATTCTCCTCCCGTTTTTCCCCCACACCTCAAGTATAGTATTTTTAATAAATTCTAACAACTTGTTAAGTAAAATTATAAACTGAAATTTGGTAAAATTACTTGTAACCAGGTATGTTGAAATAGTTGCATTTTTTTTGGTTGCCTACAGCTTCTTTGAAAATTTTCAAAATACAGAAAGTTGAAAGAATAGTACATTAAAACTAATGTACCTCACCTAATTTCTTAATTTGTTAGGTTTGTACAGAATCTTTTTTTTTTTTTTTAAGATTTATTTATTCATACAGAGTTGGGGTACAGGCTAGAGATGTGGAGGGTGAGAGGATTCACCAGAGACAGAGTGGGGAGCAAAACAGGCAGATCCATAAAGTACACTGCTGAGGGGAGCAGCGGCTGGTCCAGGAGAGGTCTGCCGCGCCATGTGGTCACCTCTGGGGCAGATGGGAATTGAACTCATGCGGAAGTGGCTTCAGCTTCTATTGCTGTGCTTTAACCTGCTGTGCCACCAGGGAGGGCCTGTACAGAATCATTTTGAGAGGAAGTTGCAGATATTCTAACACTTTATCCCTAAATATTTTAGCAAGTATCTTCTAAAAAACAAGATATTCTGCATAACCTCAATATCATTAAAACACTACCAGTATTGCATTGAGCCTACAGAATATTATTATTCTTACTCAAATTTCAGTTGGTTCAATTTTTATTACTTCAGAATCCAAATTAAGAATGTGTATTGTGTTTTCTCTGAGCTTTAGTAGTCTACTCTCATTTTGTCATAGGGTGTAAGTTGTTTATCGTTTGTACTTGTTTCCTCTAGATTAATTTGAGACTATTTTGGCACGATTTAGATAGGTGATACATGTTTTCTTTATCTTGTCCTGAAAGCGCTTGTCAGTGTTCAACTGTTTTGAGTTTTTACATTTGGTTAAAATGGAAGCGGTCAGTTGTTGTTATAAAAGTACTTTTTTTCCTTTCAAGTAATTACTAGGCACATGTGAGATGATACTGTGTGAAATCTATTTCCTAACCTTTTACCCAATGGTTTTAGTATCACTGGAAGCCATGGATGAATCAGTTACTGCATTGATGGTTGAGATCTGTGATTATCATTGTAGTTATGAGCAGTTAATTCCTGTCTGAAAGAGCCTCCCCCACCATTTTTTTTACTAGAGAACAGGTGTTTATTTCAACTCAATTTAAAACATCCTTTCTGATGTTCAAAGGTTCCCAGTTTAACCAGTGCAAGTCCCCTTTCCTATACCCTCTGACAAATTGCTGTTAATCTGTTAGTACTTGCTTCCTTTCTGGCACAAGATAGTCCAGGCTCATCTTATACTTAACATTATTTCCAGATTCGGTATCAGAAATATTTGCAAGGAGCAAACAGACTTTAGAAATCATATTCTGGGGGCCAGGTGTGCTCATTGTTTCTCGCCCTTTTCAGTGACACAGCTAGGAAGTTTAAAATCAACCTCTCCATTTCCTCTCCCACACTAAGTTCCAACTATAATTACCATTGCAGAGTACGTAACGGGGACTTAATTTTTAAAACAGAAGTGTCATTATTGCATTATCATCTTTTGATTTGGGCATTGCTCTTAAATTGACCTCTTTTGAATATTTTGAGAAAAAACTTGGAATACAATTTTTCTAAAGTACTTAATAAAAAATTGTGATCATTAAGAATATTAACATTTGAGCACCTCACATCAGAAACATTTTTTTCACATACTTAAAGAAGCAGAATTAAGTCATATTTATGTAGTATTAGATACAATTTTTGTCAAATGTGTTCTCCAGGTATGTGGAAGGTTCAAAGGCTGTTCTTGAGAAAACAGACAGATCCAAGCTGCAACCTGTAGCTTTAAGCTGTGTGCTGAATATTGGTGCTTGTAGACTGAAGATGTCAAATTGGCAGGGAGCAATAGACAGTTGTTTGGAGGTAAGTCTAATGTTGATCTTTTTGAAGGGTTGCATTATGACTTAACCAACGTGAACAAAAAGCAATTTTTATATACATACCTTATTATATAGGACCTTAGTTATCTGTGAACATATTTTTCGACCTTCATTTTTTTACCCCTTAGTCCATTTACTTTATAATAATGTACCACTTAATATTTATGAAGATACTTTGCTGTTTTTTCCTCAAAGTGTGCATCAGTTCATTTATTCATTTCACATATTGAACACTTAACTTATGTACTAGGTTTTGGAAGACAGTGATAAGTGACTGAAGACTAGATTGTAGAGTCAGACATGGTTTGCAGTATCAGTTATCTGCCACTAGCATTGTGATTTTGGACAAATTTCTAATTTCACAGAGACTAAATTTCTGTGTTAAGTGGAAATCATACTTACCTGGTGGGGTTCTTCTAAGGATTTAGTCGGTAAGTAAAGCATGTAGCACACAGTCAACATTAAGTAAAGCATTAAGCACCTAATAGACACACGAGGTATTTTAATCGAAAGGAAACCCTATTAGGGAACTTTTATTTGGCAGAGGAGGGAGGTATTTCACTTTAGGGTTATTGGGACATGGATAAGCTCACTGTGGTAACACACAAAGGTCACATGTCATAAGGGGCCCACCAAGAGGACTGGTAAGGCTAGAAGGTGATGGCATTCCCTTCCCCCAGTAGTGAGATTAGGATTCTCCCTATTGCATAGCTTGAAAAATTTCCCGAAAGAAAGTAAGTACAAAGAGCCCTCCTGGATAATCTTCCATTGCACATTACACTGTTCCCAGAGCAAGCAGAAATTAAATGACACTGCAAGTTGGTAGTGTATGTGAAAGGAGGGCTGGTTACGTGTGTTACAGTGAAACACACTTGGTCAAGGTTGGTTTTCATTTTGTGTCTCTTTTTGATCTTTGTGAGGTAGCTAATACATACATCCTGTTTAGTAAAATCTGAGTATTGCCCTGAAAGATATAGGTAGTAAAGATGGAAATAGTTTTTATTTTTAAAAGTTGTTTACTGAGGTGATGATTTACAGTGATGGGTATGAAAAGCCTGTTTTTAAAGTTTAAAGTTTGTTTCTGAGGAGAGATCTATTAACTCACGCTCCTAAAAATCCTCCTAGATTTCAGGTATAAGTGTATACAGATTTTCACTTGAAATGTCATGTCTTAATTGAGTTATGACTCACTACACAGTTAGGCACTACACAGTAAATTGAACAGAAGAACTTCAAGAATGTGTTTAATATAGAAAAATATGTATATTCAAGAATATGCATGAGGGAATTGGAATAATGAGTGTTTGGCTAGTAAATACAATTCTAAAGGATGTGAAGTAGCAGATAAATGTATTTATCACAGCCAACTTCCCTGAAGCTGAAGTAGAGCCCCCAAGGAATAGGCACCTCTTGATTTTCGTGGGCTGAGATGCAGACCTCACTGGAGAGGTCATGGCTCTGACGCACTGGGTAGTGGAGAGGGTCACTGGGTACTCACCTTGCTTGTGAGACACACTGGACTGCCTGGGGAAGTTCTCTAAGGGAGGGAGCTGTGATTTGCTGCTGGAGCCTAGTGAGAGTAGCACCTTGGAACATCTTTCTCACACATGTCCACATTGCGCCCCCTACTGACAAAACAAAATACTGTGCCAGTTGATAAAAGATTTACAGGATCCAAGGCGGCTGACTGTGGCTAGCAGGTAATACATTGAGATTTAGCATTTGTATTTACTATTTAATATTTACACAAAGCATTTTTTTACAATTATTTTGCAGGCTCTTGAGATAGATCCATCAAATACCAAAGCACTGTACCGTAGAGCTCAAGGATGGCAAGGATTAAAGGAATACGATCAAGCACTGGTAAAATTTTGCTCTTAATTTTAATTTTTAAAAATAGACAACCACCCCCATAGATCATATGCTTAATATTTCTGTAACTCTTTTCCAATTAAAGGCTGACCTTAAGAAAGCTCAGGAGATAGCACCAGAAGATAAGGGTAAGTTGTCAGTTTTGTAATGAAATGTCACTTTGTCAAGGATTTATCCTCATGAATCATTGTACCCCTTATTTATCACACAGATATCTGTTCAACAGATATTACAGAATGCCCATTATTGGGCCAGACATCAACATACATGATAGTCAAGGTCCCTACCCTCAAAGAGCTTACATTCTAGTTCCTCTGAAACTAACTAACTTGCACATACATGATTACTAATTGTTGTGTTGTATCACTGGAGAGTCTGTTCCTGTGAAAGTGTAGCACTAAAAGATAGACTGGTGAATTTAATGTTTGGGACATTAAAAGGTGGCTTTGAAGGACACTGAAGGTGGTTTTACTTTTATTCTAGCTATTATGTGTGTTTTAGGAAAGCTTTGCCAGAATTAAATTTGTTTTTCTAATAAATATGAATGATGGTATTTGGTATGGATATTAAATATATAGGGGAGGCACTTATTTGCTCTCTAGTGGAGAAGGCTAAGACAGATTTGTGTACAATTCAGTTAGGGTTCTTGTGCTCCATGATACTTCTGTTTGTGTGAATGCCTTCTTGAGTTAACTTTTCTGATGTAAGACTCAATTTATAAAGAAAAGGGTTATCAAGGTAGAGTTTACTATTATACTAAAACATTTTGTTGGTTAGCCTAATTTCTTGGATGTTTTGAGAAATAACTCAAATCACATTTATTTTGCAGCTATCCAGGTGGAACTGCTGAAAGTCAAACAAAAGATAAAGGCACAGAAAGACAAAGAGAAGGCAGCATATGCAAAAATGTTTGCTTAACAGGGAATTCAGTTTGCCTAAATAAATACATTGATTGTATATAGGCAATAAGAAAACCTAAGAAGGAGTTTTATCTATTATGTATGATCCCTGATGTGTTGACACTTCAGTTCTCCACCATTTTCAGTTCAACCATTTACATTTCAAGAGTATGATAAGTGTTCACTCTTAACAAACAGTGCTATAAAACACAGTGAAGTTGATTTTTAAAAAATGGTTATCTGCATTATTCACAAAGACTAATGGTCTCCAACCTATTTCTAAATTCTGAAAGAAATGTCTGACTGAATAAACAGATGAAAGCTTAAGTTCATATATTGTTTTCCTCAATTCTTTGCCATATTTCTGTGGCTGGTTTGTGTACATGTTTTGTAATACAGATATGTGTTCAGGGGTCTGCAAATTCTCACATAAGAGGGCCAAATAATAAATGCTTTAGGCTTTGTGGATCATTTAATAACTACTCAGTCTGTAGCTATAGCTCAAAAGTAGCCACATGTAAACCAGCACACATGGTTATGTCCCAATCAAACTCTTTGTAAATTGGCCACCTGGATGCCAACCTCTGGTTTATACCTTTATTTTTGTACTTAAAGTCTTCAGTTGGACAAATTAATGTCTGTAGTGATTGTGCTGTTGATACCGAATCTCTGAAGAATTAAAGAGGTAAATTGATGCTATATCACTTAAATTTTATTTGAGCAGTACTTTGTTATGGGACAGTTGTAGGCATAGTATAAAATTTTTATTTCACTGATAATGAACACTCTGCTGTAAGATTTGTACTTGTTAATCTCTTAAGCACTGTAAAGTTAGCTTACCATAATTCTGGGGAAATTGGCAATCAAAAATGACTAAGTAAAATCAGTTGTAGTTTACATTCCATTGTAAGCGGGTCCTCCACCACCTTCAGGTACCACCCAGTTAATATTCTGACTTGGATCTTTAATATCACATGTTTTACAGTGCACACAGTTCTGAGCATTTATCTGTAATCGAAATCCATCACCTTGTTCCAAAGGCACAAATTCATAAACTCCTGTAAGAAAAAAATAGTACCGTGAAGCACTTTAGTTTTTTAAGTTCAGATGTAGAAGTTGAAGGCCTGGAAAATTTTGTTTTTTGAATGTTTACCCACAAGGAATATAAAAATCTTTATGCTACCGCTATTAACATAGATAAAAGCCAAAAGGATAGCAATATCTGGCTCAGTCTTTAGTTCCAGTTATGTGTGTGTGTGCACATTATAGCTGAAGGACAAATGAGATCTAGTTCTTACCTTCAGGGATTTTACAACCTACTGCAATGACAGAAATGCCAAAAGACAGCCAAGGGCCCTGTCCTCAAACAGCATATATTCTAGCCCCACTCCAGAATGCACTAATTTTCAAGAATCCCAATACTATTTTAAAATAACATTTGAAACTTGGTTCTCACTGTAATTCTAGCTGAAATTTATTACTAGTCAGTATTCATGATGAATTTAAAATTTGGGAAGAACAATTCCTTGAGCTGCATGCAGCCCTCGTATATCAGTGTTTATGCATACCATACATATACATACACATATGAAAAAATGATTTTTTTTTTAAAGTCACATGAACATTTACTAAAACTATTCATTGGTGTTCTACAATTTGTACATTGGTTTGAGGGCATTAAGGAAATGCTTTCTTTTTTAAAGACATGTCATCTGAACTAGGTTTAAAGATTTCCTATATATTAGGGTTCCCTATCATAACAATGGTGAGAACCACTAAAAATAGTAAGATTCCAAAAGATAAATGTAGGAATCATTTATAAGTACAAGCAATGGGAGGCGATATGGGAATGTCTGGCAGCATATTATTAAACAGTCAAAGCAAGTATTTGTATTTTAGGAATGAATGGAGATGACATTACTTACCTGCAGGGCAGAATCGCTGTTCAGGCCCATCGTATATGGACAGATTTCTATTTACAGGTACACTGTCATCCTTTAAGGTTAAATGTGCTGGCTGGTCATGTTCATGATTAGTGCCACTCAGAGCCACTGATGACAGAAGGTCGAAACTGATCTGTCCATCGGGTTTTGGATAGTCAATAGGTGTGCAGTCCTTGGCTGGCTTGAGCTGATCAGAGTCGGAGCCTTTACAAGTTTTGAGGGAGATTGTTAATAAAAATACAGCTTCCATATGTGGAAACTTCAAATTGCTATACCAAAGAAGAATACTTTAGTTCTTATAACAATGTACTACTGTTCTTTTAAGATTATGAATTTATCATTTAAAACAATTAGCTTCCTCCATTAATTGATACCACCATGAACTTTTAATAATTACAACATTCATAATCTCAAATGTTTTAAATTACCTTTGTGTTTTAGAGTCCATGGCTCCATTCCTCTAAATATCCAGTAAAAAATTCCAGTATAAATCATCCCTCCGTATACACCCAGTATTCCATGACAGGATGGTCTTATATTTCTAACAGAATATAGCTCTTTCCACACCCATGATTTCTTCAAATTGTCCTCATACTCAGGTACATGGAGCCCTTTTATTGAAAACACGAAATGTTAAACATGTGAGATTCCCTCAAACATAAGGTTCTATACTGTCAATGTTTTGTGAATAAAGTATCTAATCAGTGGACCTGACACTGAATTTTTTTTAAAGATTTATTTATTTATTCATACAGAACTGGGGTACAGGCCAGAGGCTCAGGGGCGGTGAGAGGCTTCACCAGAGACAGAGTGGGGAGCAGAACAGGCAGATCGACGAAGTACACTGCTGAGGGGAGCAGCGGGCGGGTCAGGAGAGGTCTGGCTCGCCATGTGGTCTCCTCCGGGGCAGGCGGCAGGCGGGAATCGAACTCATGCGGAAGTGGCTTCAGATTCTCAGTGCTGGGCTTTAACCCGCTGCGCCACCAGGGAGGGCCCCTGACACTGAATTTTAAACAGTCGATCATATAAAGTCATACTGAAGATTCTTTCGTGTGGGCATCTTCCAAGAATGTAACTACTTTACAGATGTCTTAACAGGCAGTAAGATATTTGAGTGGTTCCCTAAGTTGGTTTCAAAACTTGGGAAAATGAAAAGTAAGCTTAAGACCAAGTCTGTGTTACCAATCAAAGTGAGAGATTTTATAAGTGACCTTTGAAACACTTCTGCCTTTTAGGGGTTGAATTGCATCCCTCCAAAATGGTATTTTAGAGACTTAATCTCCAGTCTTATTAGAATTGGTCATAATGGGGTTGTCACAGATGTAATTAAGATGAAGCCATACTGCAGTGCAGTGGGTCCTTCCTCTAATGACTGCCTGGTATGAGACATTCTGAGAGAAGGCAAATAGCTCAAGGCAGAAAGGAGTCACTCCTTCAAACCTCACAAAGTGTGGTCCTGCCAACACCAATTTTAAACTGCTAGCCCACAGAACTCAGAATATATTTCTGTTACATACATAACTAGAGGAAGATTTGTGGTCTGGGATTCTAAGGAATAGGATTTATTTATCAATACCTACTAGGGCCCTACGTGCCAGGTGTTTGGGATTCAGGGTCACCAAGGTCCCTGTTCATTTTGAATTTGCCATCCAAGAGGTAGGAGAAAAAGTTATTAAAAGTACACCAAGGGGTGGAAAAATAATATAGGAAAGCAGTGCAAAGAAGGCTGGAAGTGTTGTGTGTTGCAGGTTAACTGGAATGGTCGTTGAGGTGAAGCCACTGTGGGAGTGAACTTAGAGCAAAGGTGAAGGGAAAATAAGGGCATCATCACGAGATGGGAGAATACTCCGCATGTTCCAAGGACAATGAAGAAGCCAGTTGGCTGGGATGGAGAGTAACAAGCTAATCAGAAGGCTTATTTTCTGCCTTTTAGTTTGAGAAAAATAATCAGATTTTTTGAATTAAGGATTACTGAGGCGCAAGTGCTATAGCTGTTCTTCTCCGCCACAGAAGACTCAAACATGTATATCTATACTTGTAGAGCCTGCAAAGCTGTTCTATTTTCAGACCGATGAGAGTATCACATGCATATAAATGAGCTCCTGTCAAACTTGTCAGTTCTAAGTAGCCAAAACCCCTCTGGTGCTAATGCTACTTTTGACGTGACTGAAACAGAACATTGCTGTAAAAATACCTAATTATTGAGGGTAGATCATGTAAGTTTCTTTGCAAAGCACCCAACCTTAATGCTTTAAAGGAACAAATGCAATCTGTATGTTTTTTTAGTGCTGTGCTTTAACCCTCTGCGCCACCAGGGAGGGCAACAATCTGTGTTCTAATGTCAACTGAAGTATACATATAAAAGACATTAAGGTTTTTAAGAAGTTGCATATATTTTCATCCTCTACACTGTTGGTAGAGGATTTTTTTTAATGTCTCAAAAGAACCAAACAATCACCTGCATTTTAAATAGGAAGTTCTTACCTACTGTCTTTGATTGGAGATTCTCACTGGTAAGTTGATTAAAAATGGACTCTGCTGCCAAAATTCCACTTTTCATGGCTGTGTGAGTACCTTTGATCTTAGGAACATTCATGAAACCAGGGCTACAACCAATCAGTAAACCACCAGGGAAGGTGAGTTTTGGTATAGACTGAGAAAACAAACATTCAAAGTGTATTTGTTAACTAAAGTTAAACAAGCAAAACTAAACTATAAAGTTAAAATAAAGCCTCTTCAAGTCTTCTAAAGTTAAAGGGGAAAACTGAAAAATAACATCAAGATGAATATAGTAAAGGGAAAAACAGACCAAGAGCAGTTCCACTCCACTCCCATGAAGATCAACTCGATTAGTATTTTTCTTCTAAGAGTTTTTTCCTGTTCCCTTTCTATGACTGATCTACAAGACAGACTTAAGAGTGGAGCATTAACATTTAAATGTTTTTATATACATCCATGACCTGGTTAAAAAAACATTCTCTAGACTGTAAATTGTGATCTGCTTTCATGTGCATTCTGGGTAACATGATCCACAAAGGATATTATTTTTATATATATATTTTTTATTTTACTTTTGTATCTAGGGATAAAACCTTAGATTCTAATTATGACACCACCACAATTAGGTATTTCATTTAATAATGTATTTGAAGATAAACTTTCAAAATTAATTTTAAGACAAACCCTAAGACAGAAATAAAAAGTTATGTGATATTTGTGGTTCAAAATAAATTCAAACAAACTGAATGTTCTAAAGTAGTGTCACTAAAGAGTTTGCAAAAACTTAATGGAAATATCTGAACATTTGACTAGTTAAACCATAAAATACAAATGAAAATGTGTGTGTTTATAGACATTGATTCCTGCCAACTGTGAATCACCTGAGATGTTGACGCACACAAGGCGGATGTTTTAAATACAAATCTATGTAATATACAGACATCTTTATATAAATTAAAGCATACACTGACAATAGGTATTACATTATTTCACAAGATTTCTTTTTTTAAGATTTATTTATGCACAAGAGTTGGGGTACAGGCCAGCGGTGCAGAGAGGTCAGAGGAGTCACCAGAGACAATGGGGAACAGAACAGGCTGATCTCCTGAAATACACTGCTGAGGGGAGAGCGGATGAGACAGGTAAGGTCTGCTGCATCATGTGGGTTAGGTCCCTGGTCAGGGATTATTACTCATGTCACTGTGGCTGCTGACAGCTTCATAGTGTTGAGACCTGACCCTTTGAGCTACCGGGGAGGCCTGTCAAAAGTTTAATGGACCTTTGAAAGTGATTATGTAATTCCATAAATATTTTTGCTGGCTAATTACTACTATATAAACAAAGATACCTTTTAAGTAATTCCTAACGGAGTTTAGGGATAGCATTATTTTAAGATTCTAATAATCACTATAATAAAGTGATGATTTTACTTAACTATGAATTACTATTACAGTAATAAAACGGTTAGAGCTTCACTTTAAAGGTTAAGTGAACTTCCTCACCTGATTTTCTATTATGTTACTATTACTATAAAATTAAAAAGAAAATTAATTTCTGAAAGAGTTCTATCTTTTTAGATTATTAGAGATGGAAAGAATTATTTCATTTATATTTGACACCTGAAGGCAAGAGAGGGTGAATATGCTCCAAGTCATTTGGTGCATGTTTTAGAGCTGATTTTTTAGATTATCTTATCTAACACTATTTTACAATGGTACTATAGTGTTTATTGTTAGCTGACTAGGCCTGATTTTGTGTTATGTACTTTTATTACACTAACTGCATTTGACAAGATTTACTTTGAACATATAAAAAATATAACAATAAAGGGAAAAACCTAAGAGAAGTCTCCTAGAAAGCAATGATGTTACTAAATTGTTGAGAGGATTTAATTACCTTTGTGGAAAACTAATTTGTCTTTTGATTTCCTGGCAGCTAAGGAATAAAGGGAAATACCTACGTCACATAATTTTAATTTTCTGGTTGAAAACAAACCAACAAACAATAAAGGACCATTAACTTATCTCCGGAAGTCAATTTATTCTTTAAATTATGGTATTTATGTTGTGACAGCATTTTATAAATACCAGTTGCCTTTGCTTAATATACAGTCCTATGAGATAATTTCCTATTCTTTATCTAGATGTTACATTGTACTTTCAATGCTGAATTTATAATACAGAAATAAGGAAGAATGTTGCAAGAGTTACCTGAAAGCCACCTTCATTCAGAGCTCTGGCTCCATATGCAATCCTTTTCCCGCCTTCCAATGTTGGCTGAATGCTGGGGTGGTGTTTCCACCTTTGGAACTCTCTAAATGGACTCAGGTATGGATTTTGATAGTCCAGACCAACCTTAAAATTTTCACATATGAATTTGACATATTTACACAAATATGCATTTTTATTTCAATTTAAATCGGTGAGCAATACTTATCAGAAAAAATGTACATTAAATTCTTAGAGTAATATTTGCAGTAACCCTAATAAATAAACAGCTGAATAAAACCTGTCTGGGAAACAAAGGGCAAACAGGGTTACAATTTGCTCATTTAGACATTAAGAAATCACTTTTCTGAATATCCAATTCCAAATTAGAAAATATCTGTAGATGCCTCAAATTATGTTTCTACAGGAGTTGTCATTGCTTATTCATTTATCAATACCAACTCTAGAAATAATAATCTCTATGTAGCACCAGTGATGCAAAAATAAACAAATCCAATGTAATCATATTCAGAAATAAAGAGAACACGTAAGACAGGCTACATTTTAAACAATACAACATTACTCCGCTGCAGAAGTAACTACTACTTTTGCTTTGAAAAGATTACGTCATTGGAATTAATGACAAAAATGTGATGCACTGAACACTTACTGGGTGTCAAAACACACCCATGCATAAACTTAACGGGTCATTTATAGAGTTTAACCATGACAATAAACAAAGGTGCCACCAAATGCAAGCCCCTATTATTTTTGATTGTAATGTTCAAAGTTATTTACTGCTGAGATGAAAGTGGCTTTCAAAAGATGGAGAAACCATGTTTTAAAAAGCTACAGGTCTTTCAGTGGGCATATGCCAAAGCGGAACAGGCTTTGAAGTCAGACAGGTGCAGGTGCGAATGCTCCTGCTGTCGATAACGTGGGTATTTGGTAAAGCTGTTTAACCTGTTTGGACTCCAGGTTTCCAATCAGCAAAATAAGGACAGATCGACCTCACAGGCCTTTAATGAAATTTAGAGTCTCAGTAAAGCACCAAGCACAAAGCCAGCCATGCTGTTATTAAAGCTATGTGTGCCCAGGCAGACTGGCGGCTGTGACAGTCAAAAGTGCTTTACAGGCTGAAAATGAACAGAAAGCATTTTGTGGCTCCAGTTTTAAAACTGTCATTGTACAGCAGATTACCCAATGATTCTAACATATAACTACATAGAAAGGACATAACTTACCACAAAACCAAGAGCCACCAGTGGTTCACCTTCATTTAAATGATAGAGGAAAGAGCCTCCGTAAGTGTGTCTGTCCAAGGGCCAGCCGACCGTGTGGTCTACTCTCCCGGGTTTCCACTTCTTTTCGTCAATAATCCATAACTAAAAGAAAAAACGTCCTGCAGTATTAATTTCTTGTCACCACAATGGACAAAATTTTAAGTCTTATTTATGAAATTAGAAATGAAAAAGTAGTAAGAGAAACACATAAAAAGTAGCTTAGAGATCAAAGAAAAATACATCAAACAGACATGGAGTAAGAAAATAGGTAAAAAGAATATTGAACTTAAGACAGCAGGTTCTCAGATCTGTAGACTTAACTTGGATAACACTCTAGGAAACACCAGTGAAGAGAACAGGGAAATTTCTGGGGTGTTAATGTTTGATGTCATTAGGGTGGTGCTTATGTAGGTGTTGATACTTATAAAAATTGAAATGTACCCTTATAATCTGTTACTCAATGGTACATGTTATTCTTCACTGAAAGCCCACTTACCCAACCCTATGTGAACATCCAACCCCATCTGAAGTAAATTGTTCATCTTATTTTCAGACTGTTAGTTGTAAATTTTAAACAATTTCTATCTGAAATATTGTCTAAAAGTCAGACATTACTCATCCTGCTAAAATTATTAAGCCTTATTCATCATGAATCTAGTTATATATAAATTTTGAAACGTTGTGAGCTTTAACCTGAAAAATAAATGTAAACAGCTTACAGTAAAACTTTTACATGCAGTAAGCTTACGGTTTGGGAAGACAGATTAGAGACTAGATAAACTAAGAAAACACTTTAAACCTCATTAAGGTTTAGGCTGCAGATGAACAGACCAGGACTGAGGGTGTATTTCAAAAACTAAATTATCTTTATGTTACAATGTTGAGTAAATAATTCTTACATGATGTAGACATCTTGTAAGCAGCATACAACAGGTTAAGACCTGTTAGCCCAGAATGTCATTACAATGAAAAAAAAAATGTTAAAGATTTTTTCACATTCAAGACAAAACAACATTTGATATTGTTTCATACAATGTAGATAAGAATGGAGTTTGATTAGTAATATTTAAATGGACTTTAAAAATTATTCCAGGCCCTCCCTGGTGGCGCAGCTGGTTAAAGCACAGCACTAAGAAGCTTAAGCCACTTCTACATGAGTTCGATTCCAAGTCCCAGAGGTGACCCACATGGTGTGGCAGACCTCTCCTGACCCTCCTGCTGCTCCCCTCAAGGGTGTACTTTGAGGATCTGCCTGTTCTGCTCCCCACTCTGTCTCTGTTGAATTCTCTCACCACCCTGGCACCTCTGGCTTGTACCCCAGTTCTAATGCACAAATAAATCTTTAAAAAAAATTAAATCAACACTATAGACTAGAGATAAAATAAAAGAACTTAAGCTCTGTATTTCAAAACATAAACTGCAAAAACAAAGTAGGATACCTCTTTCAGTCCAATTCCATAGGTCTGGGGCTCACAATTGGCCCTCAAGTCAAACTTCTTATATAGTTGCTTAGATAGATGTCCATGGCAACCCTCAGCAAAAATGGTGACTTTAGCTTGTAGTTCTAGTCCTCTCTCAAATGTTGTCTAAAACACAAAACACATTAAATTACAAGATTTGACAAGATATAAAACATTTACATTCTGGTTAGTTTTGAATTATGTTTCAGGCATAGAAGACAGTGTAGGGCCCTCCCTGGTGGCACGTGGGTTAACGTGCAGCTCCGCAAGCTAGCCACAGTAGCTTCAGTATGAGTTTTCTATCCCTGGCCCCCAGGTGACCCACATGGCACTGCAGACCTCTCCTGACCTGCCTGCTGCTCTCCTCAGCAGTGTACTTGGTCGATCTGCCTGTCTTGCTCCTGCTCCCCACTCTATCTCTAGTGAATCATCTCACCACCCCTACACCTCTGGCCTGCTCCCCAGTTCTGTATGTATAAATAAATAAATCTTAAAAAAAAAAAGTGTAAACACGTAATACTAGAAATAAGCGAATGATAACTATATGTGTAATCTAATTTAAATTATGTAATGTTTCTTTTATTTTTCTTTATTTCAAAAGTACTTAAATTTGTAAGAAATAAAACAAAGCAAATTTACGCAAATAAATTTCTCACAAATGACTAAAAAGTTAAAAATGTAAAGCCATTTCTCCCACAGCTTGATTTTCCATCCTATTTGAGGCAAAAATGCTATTAATGGCTTTCTTGTGCATCTTACCAGAAAACTTCCATGAATAAAAAATTATATAGAGCCTAAATTTAAGTCTCCTAACACAAATAGGGTGATATCACATATACTTTTTAGCTGCTTGCCTTTTTCACTCTAATTTTACCTGTTCTCTACTGTGAAATGTATACTAGAAAAGTAAAATATTTTTCCAAGGGGAAAAAAGTTACAATTAAAGTCTTTCTCAATCTTTTGCTATCTGCATTTTGAGCTTATGTTTGACACATGGTAGGAACTTAGTGAAACTGCTGAATTAAGGAATGCAGGATAATTAGGCACTTCTCATAGGAAAATTCTGGGTATTTCTCTATATATTTGCATACATGTGTAGAAGCAGATACACTCATACAATAAATACAGTTTTACGGTGACAAACCTTTAAAATCTCTTTCATTAGGTGATTTTCCTAAGGCAGTATATTCCAAATAAAGCATCGATTTTTAATGTGTGAAGATTCCTTTAAATTTTCAACCAATTCTCAACAAATGTACACTCAGATAGTCCCACTGTTTATCACTAATAGAAGTACTGCATGAATGAATATCCTTGGTGCGAAATATTTTTAGCTCGAATGAAAGAATTAACTTATGCTTAGTTACTAGAGTCTGAACATCTTTCTCATTGTATCCGTAACTACTGTTTGGCCTGTGAAGTGCTCATCCATGTCATCTGCCTGCAGAATGCATGCACACTGCACAGAATGTTCCTCAGTGACTTTCTCATTTGCTTGTCTCCTTTTTTATACCACACTCACCCATAAGCCAACTAACAACTTAGCTTGTACAGTTTTACTCGGATTTTTATGCATACACACAAGAGATACATGCACACTTTAAACTCTTTTGGATTTTGTTTGATTTTATAAAAATGGGATCATATAATACAAAATTTTCTTATTTAGTAATACTTCATGCAAGTCTTTTTAAGTCACTGTATAGCACACATCTTTCTTTTTAATGGCTGGGTTATAATTGATGTGGGAATAGCAGAGGTTATCCAGTCATTCTGCTATGAGGTAATAGCCATTCAATATGTTCTCAGCTTATTTATGACTATAAACAAAATCATCAAACACACTTTCATTTACATATTCTTATAATATTGGTGCTTTTATCCCAGTAAAATAGAATATTTTATTCCAGCTATATAGGATATATAATAAATATAAATATAATACTTCTGAAATAAAATTCTGGGAATGACATTGAATTAAAGTTCACCTATTTTTTTTTTTAGTAGATATTACTACATACTTCCCAAAAACTGCAAAGCAGTAAACATTTCCATTAGCAGCATAAATGAGCCTTTTCCCTAAAGCCTAGTTAGTGACATATATAACTACTCTTTTTACATTTTTGTTCCTTTTACATTTTACTAAGTGACAGTTCACTGAAATTTTAATTTGCATTTCTCAAACTCTGTTTTCAACTACTTTTTTTGATTCAAGAAATAGTAAATGAATATTCAGTGAACCAAGTTCTTCGCTACGTATAGGGCATGTAAGATGAATTTAAGACTGGGCTAGTCACAGAAACAGACATTAAGTAGATGCCCAAATATTTAATTATAAATTGTGATTAGGTGCTATTGAAAAAAAGAGGGAGCAATTCTGAACTGGTTAGCAGGAAAGGTCTATTAAAAAATGACATTTAAAAGCTGTGAACACTGCGGAAAGGTAATTATCTTCCCTTATGATTAGAGATAATCTCAATTTGTTCTGTGAAGTGTCAACTTTTTAGATTCTGCCCATCTCCCTCATGTTTTTTCCTTGTCGATGTGTAAATGTTATTCCTATTTTATGTATAACTAAATTCATACTCCTCCATCTTCTGATTTCTACTATTTATCTACAGACCATAAATTCTTTTTGTATACAGAAGTGTTTAATTTTTATATAGTTAAAAAAAAAGACCTTTAATTTCTTCCTCCATGGGATGGCTTACTATGTCTCCAACTATAATTGTAATCATGATTTCTTTCTGAATTTTTTTTTGCTGTTATAGGAAATCATCAAGGTTAAAAAAAGAGAGAAGATCCAATTCTATTGCTTCCAGATGGAATAATTTTCTCAAGACTACTTATAATTCAATTTTTATAAACTAAAATATAATGTTTCCACTTAAAGGCAACATGCTTCTGTGGTTGAGGGACAGACCCTGGAGACACAGTGTCTCCCAACCCCAGCTTAACAATTATCTGTCCTTGAGCAACTTCTGAAACTTAAATCTGCCCTAATCAGAATTCTCTGGCTAAAATGCCCATTTGGCATGTGAACAAAACTACTGAATAACAGTGGGACATATGACTCTGGGGCTCAGGAAAAAGTTATTTACAGCCATGCTACTGGATGAGGTCACTATGCAGAAAATGGCGGGCTCATCTCTGAGCTCAAGTCTTTAGAGGACGAGAGCAAGAGGAAATGCAAGCAGTGGTGACCGGGAAGCAGGTGGTAAATTACAAGGATAGCCTAGTGACAAAAACTGTTTCAGTGAAAGGAGGGAAGAAAGCCTACTTGCCATGGGCTAAACAGAATGGAACAGAGTAAGCAGAATCCTTAGTTCTCCCTACTCCAAACTTGGGGTAATAAAATAATTACTTAAAAAACTTATGCTTTGATGTTCTAATTATAACGACTCCACTGAACTCTTAAATGCAATATATAAAATGAGTATACTTTTACAACAACAAAGTACAGAACACAAGAGTATATATCTGAATAAGTATAAGGAGAACACATGAAAAAAATGAAATATCAGCATGGTATAATCTGTGTGCTTCAATTTTGTCAAAATAGTAAACAAACATTTTATAAGAATAAAATATAATTAATGATCACACAGAAAATAACCATAACATAGGAACAGCAATATTCTTTCTTTTTTCTATTCTTTCTTATTATGAGAAGCAGTATGAACGAGATTGTTTGCAAATTTGCCTATGCAGCAGAATCCCTAGAGGCCTCTTATAAAACAGCATTCTGCATGCTTCTATTGAACATGCTTGGTCCTGAAGAACTCCCATGACTCACATGTATTCAAAGCACGAGGAGTACTAGACTCCAAACTCTGCAAATTTCTTTCTAGGCAGGAAATAGTGAGAAGCAGGAAGATCTGCTGGATGACATTCTAGATCAGAATCCCAATTTTGTTCGAGAATGGCAGAGGAGAACAAAGAGCGAGTCGACCCATGCTCACTGAGGAAGCGTAGCCTAACATGTATATGGCACTGTGATAGGTACTGGAGTAAATCTCCATGACCTCTGGACGTCATAATATACGTGAGAAATCAAGACAATAAACAACATGAAAAGACAAATTAATTCACTGAGATAATTTGTGTTTTGTTCTTGATTTTAGTTCTAGGAAAGAAAAATATTTTTTTCTTGTCTTTTCTAAGGAAATTTACATATTAAGAGATCCATGTCCAAGTTGTGAAAACCAGAATACCATCTAGGTTTATATTTGAATTTCAAGAAGAAGACAGATTCATATTTACTAAATGATGTTAAAATCAGGTCAAAGGCTGCAGTGATACAAGTGATGCTTACCCAAAGGAATGAAAACCAGTGCAGGTGTTACGAAGTTGACGGATAACTTACATATGTGGTTTTTTAGTTCTACTTAAACATTTTACTGATTCTCTCACTAATAAGTGAAATAAAATCTTTGACAAGTGTTTGTTTTCTGTTTATATGACTTATGTTTTTAATCTTAAAAATTATTCTTTAACATCTCATATCTACTTGCCTTAATCATTTTGTTCAAAGCTATTTTCTAACAATGGAAAATTCCATACTATTTACATATTTTAACACTCAATGTGCCACCACTTTGTAACTGGACAAATTTGTAGCAAGACAATTATGGTGTTTCTTTTGATTCTTTTTTTGTTAGTTAAGCATGTAGTGCTTACCTTTGGTGCACCATCCTTTTGTATCCCTACATCGTTAGTGGCAATTCCTTTTACACTACCATCCTCATGAAAAAGGACCTAAGATGAAAACATATTTTTTATCACCAAAGGATTCATAACTGTGAGAAGAAACAATAAACAACATAAGGTTTTTTAAACATGCTTTCTAGATTATAGAAATGCAGACTTTTAAAATGTTTAGGCAGAAACAAAACTTTTTTTATGTGTATAAAAGAACACAGTTCAAATAGTTGAAAATGGCAGAAATGTTACAACCCTCATGAGGAATAAAGGGGGAAGTACTAGGGAGACTTAAAGAAACCACTAGTAACAGTTCAGAAACCTGAAAACAGGGCTTACGGCAAGTGAAGAGCATCAGGGTGGGTGGAAAGAGGCCAGGGTTGGGAAAGCCTATGTTCCCAATGCGTTAAGAAGCCCTTTGCACCCGGAACAGAGAAAACAAAAGAATGAACAAAAGACAGAGGCTGAAGAAAGCCCCTAACTGATTAGTTTCTAGAGCAACAAGGTGGAACACTGATCAAAGTATAATTCTAGAAGATGAGAAATAGCAATACTCTTTAACCCTTACATGGTTTGTTTCCCCTCTGGAAGAAAATGCTCTTTGGGTAAGGCAGGACAGGGGCAGTGCTGGAAAACCCAACAGTATAAGAAAACATGGGAATGGAAAGATAAACAAGGGTTAGCGGCATGAAACATGAAAATAAGATAAACATTTTATTTGATACCTTAGAACCAGTCAATAATAGAATATGGCTATGAACTAGAGCTGAATCTGGCTTCGAGTACCAAAAAAACAGGTTCACAGACCTTTAATCTACCCATGATGATCTTTATGGGAATAAAAAGAGGAGAGGTAGAAGAAACAGTGTGTGTATGTATGTGTACTTATTCATTTTAACTTTTAAAAAGTAAAGATTCTTGCCAGGAGCTGCATCTCAAGTCTTTCTTTCAGAGACACCTTTCAAATGTGATTTTCAAGGCGGATGGTGTCTGCCCCTCTGACCATCCAGACTAGGTGCCTGACCAAGTAACTTCCTGAATGTTAAAAAGACACAGTACGTTTTATTACTTCTTTGGATAATGCAAGTAACAGTATATAATGTACATCTGGCTATGTAATGGGCAGTGATTTCTTTCTGTATCGGAATCTTCCTAGCAGGCTGCCTGCAATGTGTAGTCCAGTCCAGGGTTAATGCTTGTTCAATACAAATGTTTTACTCTCTTTTATAATATGCAGAGGTGATTTTTCTTGGTTGGCAAGCGATTTCAGTCTTAAAAATTTCCCCAGTAACAATGCAGTGAGAAAATCGACAGTGTATTAATGTTAAAAGTGATACTGAAGAAACTAATGGAAGAACAGTTTCTTCTGCAATGCAGAAAGGTACAACTTTGTTCTCCACTAGGTTTATTCACTCTGGTTGTCACTTGATAAAAGGAAGTGAAAGGGTTGCAATCAGATGAAGGCAATGAGAACACTGAAGGAACTCAAACTAAGTAACATGAGGGCTGAAGACCAGAAAATTTAACCAGCAAAAAAGCCCCCAAACCTTCAGAGTGAAGGTGGGGAAGAACAAGCAGAGCGTAATTATAATTGGAAAGCTGTCTTTGGAAGAGGGCATAAATTTGTTCTGCATAGTGTAAAATAGCAGATATGCAACATAAAGGAGAGAATATTACCACAATCCAAATATTGATTCTTTTTAATCCTTGATGTTTAATCATAATTTGGGCAATCACTTGATGTAGAAACAATATAAGAACTCAAGTATTTTTTGGATTAGATCTTTTCAAGATTCCTTCAGCTGTATAATTTTAAAATTCTATGGCTTTTCTAAAATGTGTACTTCTTTACTACTTTAACATTCTTGGTTTATATTCAAAAGAAAAAAGATTACTTCCTATAAACACTAAAAGCAAAACAAAAGTATGCAAACCTCAGCAGCAGCATAACCAGGGTATACTTCCACACCCAGGGCTTCTGCTTGCTCTCCCATCCAGCTTACCAAGTGGCCCAAGCGTACAATGTAATTGCCATGGTTATTCATTGGAAGACCTACAAATATATACTTAATTTATAAATCTGACCTTGAATTCATAATACATCACAAAACATGATTTAAACATTCTAACCAACATTATAACTCCTGCATAAATACACACATTATCTTTTTTTAAAGGACATTATCTCATCATGCTGTAATGCCCAATTATTTTCTACCTTTTGATTTAGAGCTCTAATTACTGAAATTAAAAGTTTTTGGCTGGCTTACAAGGCCATCTCAATTCTTCCAAACTGGAAGACAAAAGCACTGAGTTCTAGTCCAGCTTTCCCACAAGCTAGCTATGTAAATCTGGGCAAGCACTTCAAACTCTTGATCTCAGTTTTCTGATCTGTAAAAGGAAGGGATTTCACCGGATGAAATGTAGTTCCTTTCAGCTGTGCAATACTGTGATTCTGATTATTTACTATATACCTTACCTGGAAGAATTGGCACAGGAATTCTGCCTTTCTCTGTTAAAATCCCAAATCTGTCTTCTGTTACAAGTGTTTTAAGTGGTGCCTAGAAACAAGGAAAATCAAGTTTTCAGTTCAGATTCTGTAAGGCAAACACAAGTTAAAAAAAACAAATAGTTAAAAAAGTTGTGCCATAAGGGAAAGGGAACTACCCTCCTTGTTCTCTCAGCAATTTCTTTTAGAAAACTTGAACTCTAAATCCTTTGCTCTTTTGAGATGTATGATAATCTTTTTAAAAATTAATTAAGCAGCTATGAATCCCAGGAATGTCTTTCCTGGGGTCTTGGAGACATCTTTGAAATGTGAACATCAAGCAGGATGGCTCCTGCCTCTCTGTGGGAGCTTAGCTCCAAGTAGCAACTTGCTGCCTAATAAAACATAAGAGAAGAATATAGCTGAAATGTTTGTCATTCAATTTACTCCACAGGGAAAGAATACAAAAGTATTTATAGACTTTTTTGAGCTTTACAAAGCATATTCACAGATAATGAATATTCTAACCTTGAAGGCAAGACAGGTATAACAAACTGTTGTACAGAAGAAAGAACTGAGGTATACAGAGTATAAGATTTCAAGTAAGATTATACAAATTATGAGGGCAGTAAAGCTGGTGTTTGGTTCTCTATCACATCAGTATCTTTTCTGTTTAGGACAGGAGAGGCCATATTAATTTATTCTTTAGAAAATTAGATTATCCTCTTTGACTATTTATTACAGTGACCCCCCAAAAATGTTCTATCTTCCCGAGAATAATGAAGTAAATACCTGTGGAAGAAGTTAGAAAATATCCTCAAAATCAAAATGCTATATTTTACTCAGAACAAATATTCAAAGGCCTCCCCAAGATAACTCCTCATGAACTCTGTCCATAAATGCACATATAGAAGGCATACAAAAATATGAATTAAAATATTTAAACTCATTAGATGAGAGTCAACCTTTCCTTGACACTTTTTAAGGAAAAAGAAAAAAACTACAACTACCCCTTCAGAGACAGAATTACATGAAAAAGATTTTCCATATTCCATTTGGAAACAAATATGTAGTAATGTATAAAAAATATTTTTTTTCATACTCCCTTCTCCTTCCAGTCTGGGAACAGTTCTTCAAAAGCACGTGGATCAAGGCAAGCCCCTGAGAGAGTATGTGCTCCTATCTGAGCCGCTTTCTCCACCAGACACACTCGGATATCCTTTTCGTGTTGAGCAGCCAACTGCTTTAGACGAATAGCTGCAGACAGCCCTGCAGGGCCTGCACCAACTATTACTACATCTGCTTCTTCTGCAAACCTCTCCATGCTCACTCCTGGGAGGAAAAATGTTTAAAAAATATATACATAAAGATTTTGCGATACATATGACCTGGCAAAATGATAAGCTATTCTACAGTATTATTTATAGAAATAGTCCCTTTGCTTTATATGTAATGGGTATGTTAGGTAGCTGGCTGTCGCTTCGGGTCTGTTCTATTGCAAGTCTTATTTTATTTTTTTTAAAAGATTGATTTATTTATGCACACAAGACTGGGATACAGACTAGAGGTAAAAGGGGTGAGAGGATTCACCAGAGACAGAGTGGGGAACAGAACAGACAGATCGACTGAAACACACTGCTGAAGGGAGCAGCAGGCTGATCAGAGAGGTCTACCGTGCCATGTGGCTGCAGTAGGTGCAGAGAGCAACCCCCTGTGCCATGGGGAGGGCCTGCAAGTCTTACTTTTAGCTTCATTAAATCAAATTTTAGATTTATTATATATTTAGCAAAGACTTGCTTATTTAAACATTACATAATAGATTTGATAGTTATAAAATATTAGATTGTACATGATCATGAAAAATATATTTTTCTCCACAAAATAATAAACGATCAAAATGTCTCAGCAGTTTAAACAGTCTTACCTTCCCATCTCTTGTCCTTATCCCTGGGATAAACAGTATAATGGGTAGTGATTCGAGGTACAACGGAAGTTGAAGACCATCTTATGGCATACAGAGGTAGGTAATTTTTCTTAATTTTTAAGGCATGAAGGCACTGATATGCTGCATGAAAATTATCAACATTAACATTATTTTCTCAATAAGTTTTCTTTAGCAGTAGGCTAAACACTTTTTAAAAGGGAAAAAAAAAAAAAAAGATTGAGAGTCCAACCTTGAAACCTGCCCTGACATATATAAACCTTTTTTTTTTTGTAGATATAAGAATTAAGTCTGTGATGGGAGAAAAGAAAGAATAACCAAAGGAACAGAATAAAGAGTTCAGAAATAGGATCCATGTAAGGACTTGTATATGTTAATGATGCCACTTCAAATTGCAAAAAAGAGATAGTTATACATTAAAAGATTCAGTGATATCTAGAAAGTAATTTTAGGTATATACCTAATATAAATGATGGCACATGTCTATACAAAACTTACATACAAATATTCCCAGGTATATTATTCATAAAACCCCAATGTGGAAACAGCCCAAGTGTCTATAAAAAGTAGTATATCCACATATTCATTAAAGGAGTATTGTTCAACAATAAAAAGTAATTTTGGAGGCTAAATCAGAGATTTTCAAATTTCTGGATGACATGTTAGTATATGTGCTGCCGAAGTGAGCACGCCTGGATAACATTTCAAATTATAAGTAGGAAATATCTATCCGGTTAAGAAATATCTTAGGCAATTTGCCCTTATCCTACACCACAGTATTTACAAAGCAGACATTGTCCTTAAACTTTCCACAGGATGAAGAGAATTATATAACTTGCTGATGACTTTGTTGCTGAATTTAAATAAAAACTAGACAGATGAAAGTACTACAACCTTTCTCTATGTTCCTTTTTTTTTTTTTTAATTTTTAAAGAGAAACTGAGCAGAAGTACACAGTTTTTCATGAACTTCTTCCCATGCTTCATGAATATCTTGCATGGGTGTATTAGTTGCAGTTGGTTCGCATACTGATATAATATTAAAGTTGATAGTTTGGAGTTCACTCTTTGATTGGCTACATTTGTGAATTTTGACAAATGCATGATAACATACATTTACAATGTATATGTTAGTTGCAATAGCATACAATGTTAATCACAATAGCATACACTACCCCCCAAATACCGGGTCTACCACATACTTATTCCTTTCTATCTCTTCCTGAAGCCCTAAAATTCCTTATCTTCTTACATGTCTATAATTTTGACTTTTCCAGAATGTCATGGAATTACACAGTATGTATCTTTTTCAGAAAATCCTAATACATGTCTAAGTTTCATCCATACAATTCTATTCCTACTTCCTTACTCAAAGAATACAAAAACACTACTTTGAAAGGGTATATACATTCTTATGATCACTGCAGCACTTTTTGCAATAGCCAAGTTATGGAAATAACTGATGTGTCCAAAGATAGATGAGTGGATTAGTATATATACACAATGGAATACTACTCAGTTATTTAAAAAAAAGTAAACTTCTGCCATTTGTGATGACATAGATAGAACTGGAGTGGATAATGCTAAACAAAATAAGTTAAAAGGAGAAAAACAAATACTGATGGTTTCACTTATATATAAAATATAGAGAAACAAAGCAAATGGTCAGATAAAACCAAATCTATAACAAGCTGCATAAATATAACTGTAGAATTGAGACAATCATAGGAGATATGGAGAGAAAGAGGTGGGGGGCCCTCAATGGACTATGTACAGAAGTATGGGTAGGTACCTTGATAGTGGGTGTGGTACAATAATGTTATAGGGCAACCCAACACATCTTCAGGGTGTGATTCCATACTGATAAACTATACAGTGTTGCAAATCATGATCCCACAATAAAAAACAAATGAATAAAATTAAACCTTTGACAAATGCTAATTGATGTAATAAAATAGTAAGCAAAATAAATACAGCAAACAAAAAGAGAAATAAAATTACTACCAAACATCTCAGTTCCTAATTTCAAATATAGTATTATGCATAATAATATTCATACTATTTATTAAAAGTTACTTGTTTTATGACACATTGTAGTTTAGTACATGGAAGCTACCATTTTGCATCTGAGAACTGCTGCTTTGGAATCAGACAAAACTAATTCTATTACTTGTATAGTTAGTGATTTTTTGGAACAGAGTAATCAGATTTCCTTAAGGGGGTTAAAAGTTACAACCTTTACCCATTTCTGAAAAAAAGTTGGATATTTCACCTTAGTGACCTGAACACTTGAGACTTGGCTAAATTTTGATATAGAAGTAAGGTCAAAAACATAAACATCACCAAAACAACTCAAAACATCACCATATCAAAGTCACAATGAGGACATTTGGGTCCATCTCCAATGATCTTAGCATCCAAAGAAAAGGGAAAAGGTAATTTTGGTGAAATTTGCTTAGCACTTGGTCCAATAAAGATTTCAACTAAATTGGGCAGAAGGGCAGATACCATCTGACCACTTTATGGTCAAAAGGCAAAGGTACCCACATGTTAGGTATAGTAATACATCTAATCGTTAAATGCATGGACCCAAATTTGACCAAATTCTACCTTTGTGAAATTTATGTAAGAATATTCTTGAATTTGAAATGTGCATAATGATTTATTCTGTAATGGAAAATTATATAAAGATTTTTAAAAAGCCAATTATAACAGAACTCAAGATCCTGTAGTGAACTTTTGGAAAAGTTTAAGCTATTTTTGTTTTTAATAAAACTAAGCAAAAAACAATACAATTACTTCATTCTAACATTTTTTTTTCTTTTAAGGTAATGAGGTATTTTCAGGAGTCATCCTGAGCGGTAGGCAGACCCACAATACCATAATCCCAGGGAATTACTTTTAGACAATGTGGAAAAATTTCTGGTTCTTCATGTAACCTGGTGACTCGAGCAGCAAATGAATGCTAATTACGATGTGACAGATCAGTCTTCCAGTTCTTAAGACAATGACTGGTGCAAATTTGCAAGTCAGGTCGGGCAAGAAGAAACACTGTTGAGATAATTTTTTTTTTTCCATTTCCAAATAGGAACTAGGTAACAACAGAGCTTTGGGATAAGGATTTGGAAAGACTTTGTTCAAAAGTCCACTCGGGGACCGTGTTGACAAGTTTCCTTCGCCCGTGACCTTTAGCCTAGTTGTCAATTCTTCCAACTGGGACAACCTTAGGGGAAGGAACTGGTGTCACCCACCAGCTGGAGACGCCGCGACCTTCGCCCTAGTTTAGCATGAGAAAGCTGACAGAGGAAAAAGGAAGGGAGAGATGCCCCCAGGTTGGGTCTTGTCCTAACTCCTCGACCTTCCTCCCCTTACCCCCGCCCCGAGTCCCCTCTCACCAGGGCAGGACAGCCTGGCCAGCGGGACCAACATCTTCAAGGGAACCAGGACTCAGTCGGACACAGGACAGCGTGAGGCTTGCTGCGGACGCGGGACCTCTAGGCCGTGGGGGGCGCCATCACCTGGGCCAATACTGACCCTCCGCTGAAATTTGCCTTTCTTCGCAGACGCCCGCTTTGGCTTCACCGCGTCGCCTCCTTTTTCTCGCTCTGCGCCGGCGCCAAGCATGACGCATGGTCAGAGACTTCCGGGTCACGTACAGAAGGAAGGAAAAGAAAGGGCCTCCAAGTGCCCGACGCTGACCGTGGCTTCTGGTTGCGATTGGATTGTATTTCATTCTCAACCGGGCGTGGGAGTAGGCGGGGGCAGGGGACTAGGAGGCTGGAACCACACTTCCCATAGTGCAACGCGCGCAGGTCACCGGTTGAGGGAGGCGGAGCGATGCGAATGGCATCCTGGGGGCTGTAGTCTTCCACTCTAGCGCCTCGGAGTCCGATTGGTGGTGCGCTTGGAGGCGTATCGCGGCCAGAAGAATGCACTAACTTCTGATTGGATCTCGGGGAAAAAATGAAAAGACTTCGCGGCTTTGGACCAAGATCTACGAGGGGACTGGGAGAGACTCTGGGCGGGGGAAGGCGGGACTTGTGGGCTTAGGGCGCGAGCGATTGAAAGACAGTTGGTGTCGTTAGGTGGCTGCAGGTCACTCAGTCCCCAGTTCTTCTCCATGGCTGCCCCCGAGAAGCTGCGGGTTTCTCCGTTGCCGCCACCGCCGTCTTCTCCTTCTGCCTCAGACGACTCTTCAGCATCTTCTCCCGGCGTCCCGGTGCGTTTGGACTGGCCGGTTCCTAGCAGGAGCAGCGGCCGCCCGGTGGACCCGCTGGAGGAGGTGGAGCTGCAGATCGGAGATGTGAGTGTCGTGGGACGCGGCGCGGGGCCGAAGCCCGACCACCGAGCAGCTGGCCGGGCCGGGGAGCCCAGCACTGGCCGGGGGTGCCCCTGAGGTGTGGGCTGGGGAGTCCGGTGCACCCGCGCCAGAGACCCCTTGCCCCACCCTTGAGGAGTCGCCCTGTAGATTATTGTGGAGGAATCTGGGGTTACCCCATCACCCACCCCACCCTCACTTTTCTTTATTCTTTGCCTCGCCTTCTGGTTTCAATTATCCTCTGTAACCCGAAACCTCGCCGCTCCCCTGCGGGGACTTGTGCTGGCTCTATTTGGCCTCCCGCCTGCTGGCTGCTGTGCTGAAGATCGGGCGGTGATTTCTGTGCTGGGGTTGAAGAGCCCTTGGCTGCCCTTGGGCCCCTGCCCAGAGCCCGCTGCAAATGCTTTTGCTTGTGTCTGGCGTGCTTTGCACTAGACGCAGCTTGGAGGGGTTAGTTACTGCCCCTCTGGTTTGAATTAGTTTCTTAAAGATCTCGCCCTGTGATTGCTAGAATCCAGGTGGTTTCTGTCCCCAGAGGCTGGCGCGCCCTCATCCCCACCCCCAGCCGAAGAAAACACAGACACAGACACACACACACACACACACCAGGAGAGGTCAAGGTTTCAGTATTTAAAGCCCCTGAGTGGGTGAGATGGAATGAGAAATGCAGGGTGTAACCTTTTTGGAAATTTTAGTGGAATAGACACTCCTTGCAGATTGGTAACTGGGGAATAAACCCGATTATCTCATTGCTCAACAAGTATTTGTCTTCTGAAAAGATGACTACAGTGCTGATCCAGTTATTTTTTGCCAAACAAGCCTGATTTCAAGTTCGTATGTAGAGTGGAGGGTTGATGTATTACCTAGGAGAAGTACTACTCTATCTTAGGTGAAGAAATAATTGATTAAAAAGTGGGTTTCCACTTTTTTTTGATTAAAAAGTGTGTGTTTTGATTTTGTGATTTATACCCGCCCCCCCAAGATACTTCTTGTACTTAATATCAAGGGATCCAAGTTACTTTGAAAAGCTAAATGATATTCCACTGTATTTTCAGTTAAAAAAATTATTGTCAGTTCTCATACATAGGGATATATTTCAAGTAGACATATTTCTTCAAAGCATACTTCATATTAAAGAATTTCTAAGTTCCCAGAAAGAGTTGTTTTGTTTTGAAGATTTTTTAAAAAAGATTTATTTATTTATGCATCCAGAATTGGGGTACAGGCCAGAGGTGCAGGGGGGGGTTGAGAGGATTCACTAGAGTCAGAGTGGAGAGCAGAACAGGGAGATCAACGAAGTACATTGCTGAGGGGAGTGGTGGCCAGGTAAGGAGAGGTCTGCGGTACCATGTTGGTCACCTCCTTGTGGGGATCGAACTGCGCTGAAGCAGCTGTGGCTATTTTGCAGTGCTGTGCCCTAACCCCTTGCGCCACCAGGAAGGGCCCAGATTTTTTTAATTTGTAAAGAAATTAACTTCAATACTGGATTCAAGGTTCTCAGGTCTTTTTTGGTTCTTTGTGAAATAAGTGACAATTTTAAAAATACATTTTAATTTTATATTTTTAATTTCAGGCAGCATTTTCATTAACCAAACTTCTTGAAGCCACATCAGCAATATCAGCTCAAGTGGAAGAACTTACCTTAAAATGTACAGAAAATGCACGCTTCCTTAAAACGTGGCGGGACCTCTTGAAAGAAGGCTATGACTCTTTGAAACCAGACAACTGATTTGACTGTGTAATAAATCACACTTTGTCATTTAAGATATTTGCACATGTACCATATCTATAGGATATTCTCTCTCTAGCTGTTCTGTATACGCACAGTGAAATTTTTCTTGCTTTTGTGAAAGCCAAATACTGATGTTTTTTGCTGCTGGTTAACTTTTGTTTATTCTTAATGCTTTTTGCGAAACTTTGTGAAAGTTATTTTAAACTTTGTGAAAGTTACTTTATGAGTAGATAGTCTTAATAATGCTACAGTATTACCAGTAGCAAATGAGATAAACGATTGCTCATTTTGCAAGATGTCTAGAATGGCAGAATTTGAAGTTGAGCTTCAATGTCGCAGCATGGGAGGTAACAGTAAGGTTACCAGTGTTAGCTCCATTAGGTCCAGCTCTCTAGGACCAGGTTGTCTCTTACTTCTGCGTTACCAATACTTAGAGAACTTGTCACACAACCCTTATTAAATGTTTGTTAGAGTAAGAGTTGACAACATAGTTTTTTTCCTTCCTATTTTTAACAGGCATGTTGTAATTGTTTCTCAAAAAACAAATCTGAATCAGGATATCAGTGACTTGAAGGGAAATGGTTCCCTTAACTGATGACAGCTTTTAAAAACATGTAAGATGTTTTTTGCCCTTCTGTGATGCTTTTTTAAAAAAGCCTTTCAGAACATGAAAGCCTGTTTCACCCTATTTATTTCTAAGGTTAACTGCTTTTACAGATGATATTTCTTATATCTGATACTCTTTTATGCTCTCTTAAAGTGCCTTATTAAAATTATGGTTCTGTATGAATACGAGCTTTGCAAGTTGTCTGTAATTTTAGAGATGTTACTTTTTTTTTGTTTTGAATGCATCAAATTTGAAAGATGCAATTGTTTTCTGTTTTATTTGTCCTGAATCTTTTGTTTCTCTCTCTTTTTTTTTTTTTTTGGTTGTTTATGGCATTTGCACGCTAATTCTCTACTCTGTAGCTTCTGGATGTTTTTGATATGGTATCTTAATTCTCTGTAGACAGGGAGATGTGTACAGAACTGTATTGTAAAGCCCCACAAAGGGACTCTGAAAGGGACACATGGAAGGACAAAGGGTAGTTTTGTTTAGCATATTAGTTTTTAAGTCTTGTTTAACTTTTTAATTTGATGATTAAAATATATATGCTGTGTTCCACTACCAAAGAGATGCTTATTTTGTTATAAATTTTTTTCATATGTCATGAAATTGCAGTTTTCAAATGTCAAAAATAAAATCTTAAAAGTAAATTTTATTTCTGCTTTTTTATTATTTAAAATTTTTTATTGAAGTAAAATAACAGGAAAGGGGAGGGGATTGCTTTTAGAAATCCTTATATTCTTAAAGTAAATTTTATTTCCACTTTTTGAGGTTTATTATTTTAAAATTTTTTATTGAAATAAAATAACAGGAAAGGGGGAGGGGAATGCTTTTAGAAATCCTTATATTCTCACCATGCAGATTTAATACATGTTAGCATTTGGTTCTATTTCTTCAGAGATGCATATTTTAAAAATAGAAGTATTAGCTACATTGATGCTTACTTTGCTGCCTCTCTGATCCCATTCCCTTCTTCCCTTCCCTGAGATGGCTACTGCCCTAGAGATGGTGTATATTCACATTTTTCTTTTTAGGTTTTTAAATACAGTATGTCTTCAGAGTACTACACATACTGTTTTGTTTATGTGGCAACTAGCCTCCAGATGACTCCGGGGACCACCTGCATCCTGGTAGTCATGCTTTTGCACAGTCCAGCAGGAAGTGTGCTCACTAAGTAACTATCTAGTGTTGCAGAAATGCAGTGTGTGATTTCCCAAGTAATATTTTTGGCCAATTTTTAAAAAGATTTATTTATTTATGCATACAAAAACTGGGGTACAGGCCCAGAGGCACAGGGGTGCGAAGATTCACCAGAAACAGAGTGGGGAGCAGAACAGGTGGGTTGACTGATATACCGCTGAGGGCAGCAGTAGGTCAGACAGGAGAGGTCTGCTGTGCCATGTGGCCAGCTCCCTGGCTGGGGATTCAATTTGTTCATTCTGCAGTGGCTGTGGATTACATTTTACTTCCAAGAGTGACTTAAAAAACCTCTTTGTATTTTCCTTTTGCTTCATGGTTGGGGGAGAACTCAGAAGCATAAACATTTTCTTAAAGACTTAAGAATTAAAGCAAATAAACTTAGAAACTCATTGCCAAGTCTACACAAGCCTCAGAAGAAAACTTGATAATCTTACTGATAGAAAATTAAAAGCCTCAAGAGACTGAGGTCACTAAGATGAAATTTTTAGTGTTAAAACTGCATTTTGGAAGGTTGTGACTATGAAATATATGTCAGGAATTTTATAATCTTTTCATGCTTTTAGAGGAAAGTGATGTCTACTTTCCTCTAAAATAAAAATAATAATTTGCCCACAGATTTCTGACAGCAAACTAGTGTGCTTGTATATACCACACTTAGCAACCTAGCTCTTGATTAGACTTATTAATATTTATCATTTTACTTATTCTCCTTATCTGTGACAGTTTATTTTATATGTTGGCTGGGTCATAGGGTACCTGGATATCTGCATGTTTCTGCAAGTTTTTTAATTAAATCAATACATTGGCAGGCCAGTAAAGCAAACTACAATCCATAATGTGGGTGGGCTTCAGTCAGAGAAGGCTTGAATTCCACAAAGGCTGACCTTCCCCTGAGGAAGAGAATTCTCCCTCTTGACCTTGAATGCTGGCTCTTCCTACTTAATGACCTTTGACCTGGAACATGCAGCCTTCAGGCTCAAACCAGAAATTAGCTCAACTGAACAGATTTTGGATCGGCCAGGCAAGTTTTCTTTCCCTCTCTCACTGTTCTCATTCTCTCTCCCGAACTTAACTTTGTATTTGAAATACCTATTTTGCCTTTTAGTGACACATCATAGAAAAACTGCTAGTAATTTTATAATACTTTTTTTTTTGGTAAATACCAGTTAGCAAATTAGAGTTGGAGGTATAGAAACTTGTTGAATAATCACAAACATAGTGAGACAAGTTGTTGACCCAAACAGTTACCGAAAGATGGTATAAAAAGCCATAAATTTAAGAGATGTTTATGAAATAGAATTGAGGGAGGTTCAGATGATTTGATAGGGATTTGGGAAAGGGAAGAGTCAGGACGACTCAGATTTCTCGGTTAGGTCTTTGGCACCATCCACCACCATAGGTCCAGAGAAGAGAGGACTCAGGTGTCACGAGTCCAGAGCCAATAATGACACTAGACAGCCAGTGAAATACCTACCTGGAAACATCTAATGGGTCGTTGTATATAAAGTGATCAACACAGGAGAACAGACTAAAAGCAAAAATATGGGAATCAATATGAATAGTAATTGAAACAATGACAATGGATGAGGTTGACACAGTCTAGATAAGAAAAATATTTAAAACAGTGAAAGCCAATGAGACTTCTAGTTAAAGATTTTTATAAGGGGATGCATCTTAGCAAAAGATGAGTAAAAATTAAATAATTTGTTTTTTAGGTCTTAACCTATAGGGGGCGCTCGTGCTCATTTCTAGTATCGATTCATATAAAATGCTTGAATTCGATGATTTTAGTTATATTTTCTTTTCATTCCTTCTTTTGGCTGAATATTATTCTATTGTATGTGTGCCTCATTTTACCTACCTGTTCATCAGTTGATTGGCACTTGGGTTGTTTCCATCTTTTGACAACCGTGAATAATGCGGCAATCAATATTTGTCTATCAGCAGCCAGTGTCTTGTTTTCCATTCTGTTGTGTGCACACTCAGGAGTGAAATAGCGGGGTTATATGGTAATTCTATGATGAGCTTTTGAGCCATCTTTAAACTCTTTTCTAGAGGGGCTGCACCATTTTATTTTCCTACCATTAATGTAGAAAGGTTTTAATTTTCTGTTCTTTGTCAAAACATTTTCTTTTTGTCTTTTTAAAATTGCAGCGCTCCCAGTAGGTGTTAACTTTCTGTGGTTTAACTTGACTTTTCTTAAAGATTAGTGATGGTTAGCATCTTTTCATGTACTTATCGGCCATTTTATATCTCCTTTGGAAAAAATGTCTATTCAAGTTCTTTACCCAGTTTTAAATTGGGCTGCTTGTCTTTTTTGTTGAGTTGCTGATGTTCTTTGTATATTCTGGTTATTCAACCCTTGTTAGATATATGATTTGCAAATATTTAGATGAAGTCCAATTTACATTCTCTCCCTTTTGTTGTTCATGTTTTGTTGGCCTATCAAAGTCTGTTTTGCCAAACTCAAAGTCTTTGAAGATCTACACAGTAATTTTCTTCTAAGAGTTTTATCTCTTACCTTTAGATTGTTATTCCATTTTTGAGTTAATATTTATGTTAAAATTTATAGTTTAAAGCAAGGGTCCCACTTCATTCTTTTGCCAATGAATATCTAGTTGTTGAAAAGATGTTCATGGCCATTTGATTTTCTTGGCATCTTTGCTGAAAATCAATTGACTGTGGATGTGTTTATTTTTGGACTTTCAACTCTATTTTATCTATGTCTATCCTCAGTCTAGCTTTTCTGATTCAATCCTCTGCAATACTTCTACTCTCCTTTTCCAGTCCCATATGGTGATGCTCATTTAAGTAAAAAGACAACTGGGTAGGAAGTGACAGAAAACTGCCATTTTGAGTTTAAACCAGGATAGTCCCCCCCCCTTTTTTTTTTTTCAAAGTAACATGTTGTATTGGCTTTAAAGTGCAAACACTTGAAGAGAGCGATGGATTCTTAAAACAAAATATCTGTATTTTGCAAACACATTTCTTTACATTACTGGGTAATGTAAAACCTTAAACCTTTATTAAAGTGCACATGATTCAAAAGTTTGCTGATATGCATGACAGAGAAAGCACTACCTTACACTAGGAGCTGCAGATGGACTGTGTTCAGCTGTTGCACACAATTTAACTTTGAAAATTGAAAAGATTCTATACTGTCTATTTCTAGGAACTTACCCCAGTGCTGTGCACATAGAGGGACTCAATAAATGCATAGTAAAAGAATGAATGGTTACGAAATAGATTTCTCTTAATCTCCTGTGCAAAATAGCTAATATATACATTGTCAATATAACTTATTTCCTATTATCTTCTCATCAGTCACTTATTTTTCCCAAATAACTTCATGTTATCACAAATTGATTTATTTTAGCCATTCATATGTTAACAATTTTGAGACATTCATTTTATACCAACAAATCTGTGAAGCACCCACAGTATTATATGAGAAGAAATGGGTCTCTGGGTTAGTTATGAGTAGGAATTGAGTCTAGTTGATTGAGAAATCAGTGACAGTTCACAGGAGTCTCTGAAAAGGGTCGGCTTCATTAACTCAGCTGGCATCTCCTGTGGGGGCCACATCTCCACCCAGATGAACGAGGGAGCATATGTTTTCTGGCTTCCTTTGCTGTCAACAGATCTTCTGTGTCTGTAGTTATACCACAATTGATGGATCATTTCTTTGAATGGTCTTGTGGTCAGAGTATAGATAATAGGATTCAAAGCACTGTTGATAGGTAGAATAAAAATCACTACCCAAGAAGTTATGGTACCTGGAAGAGAAAAGTGAGAGTTTTCGTGTTGATGGAGGTTTAGAGGGTAGAAACCCCTTTTCCATGTTTCTCCCCCAGCCCCCTTTTGAGTCTTAATTTTCCCCCTTCGATGTTACATAATTAAATACCAAGTCTATATGTGTTTCCAGATGTCTTTCCAGAGTGCCAGTGTTTGAGGGGAGTGCTGGTGCTGCAAAAAAACAGGGTTCTTTGCTAAGTAGCTTTTCTCCAATATATCAACATAATTCCATTAGGTAGAAATATTTTTCCACCAAGTGGTTACATATTTTTATGATTCCATCTTAGGAAAACACTATTAC